TAGAAGTCCCGAGCGCGATTACCAGTGGGGGCAGATTTGTTGCTTGTTTTAAGTCCGCTTGGCTAGCTAACACCATCTTGCCTAACAAAACAATATTTTAACAGCATTGTTGTGTTCCACTTCCGGTAGTTGGAGGTAAGATAGTCAATTTCTCGGTGGTTAAGGATCCCTACTTTCAGCCTGATCATCATTTTCATCATCATCGGTGTGATGCAGGCCAAGAGTTTCCTCGTGGAAAAAAATTGAAGTTACTATAATATTTTGTAAAACGTTGAATTCAGTTTATTAATTTTCGGGAGCTTATTAATAGAAATTATATTTCAGGCCCAGAAGAGTTTAATTTCATTTCACCTACCAATCCTGTACATTTGACCTCGTCCTTGGCGAAACCTCAGCCTGTGGCATTATTATCGGCTTAATTACCATAATCAACCCTAATTAGTCGTGTAATTATTACCACCCCCGCATCTAAATAAGAACATCGTTTAGCGATACCTTTATAGCTCTCAAGGGGAACGAACTAATGTTTTGAAGAAAATAGGACTGGAAGAATTGGATTTGTATGTCATGAAAATATTAACTGGATAAATCGAAAATGTATGTTGATGATAGAGTTCAAAAGGTCGCATTTAGGCCTCTTACTACTTATAAAATGTTATGCGAATACTATCTTCTTATTTAATGGATGAAGGGGTCAATGGTTAACACACCGTAAACCGTAACACCTTACAAAATAATTACAATTATTACTAATTATTAGTTTAGATTTAACTAAATTGTCACTATGAAATTTTTTACTATGCTTATTCCATTCTTCATTTACCTACATTCAATAAAATTAACCTTTTCATAATATTTTTTCTTTTTTGGGAAATATGGCTACAGTCAATGTCACATTTTACTTAGTCCCAAAATAAAGGTCTCAAGAAGGTTAAGTTTTTGTCAACATATACACCTACCTGTGCCATTATCTATTAGTTCCACTTGAATGGAACTGAGTAATGGAATAGAACTATTTGGGACACGTTAATAGACGCAAAAAGGGATGGGATCTTAGTGTTTGCGTTGTATATTAATAGCTTCTTACAGTCAGATATACTTCATTTAGGCTATTACAAAACAAACTAATTTAGAACTTTACTTAGTGATTTATCACATTTGCGAGCGAGTTGAAGGCTGAAGCGAGAGCGCGACGGGCTCTACTACTAAAAATCTACGTATGTACGTATTCATCATCATCATCATCATCATCAACAGCCCTTTACAGTCCACTGGTGGACTATGAGGTTTTGCCATAATCCTCACGCTTGGCAGGCGGGTTCAAGATCGCAGTTTCAAAGATTGATGTTTTTCAGAGAGCGCTGCTGCCAGGGGGACTACACACCAAACAGAGAATGTATGTATTACTACACATTTTTTCAAAATTCAAATCAATATCAAACATTTTTTAATTAAATTTTGACCACTAATGGCACTTTTGAACGTCAAAATACAGTAAAAAAAATTGGAGAGAGCATGTGTTTTAGACGACTAATCTGGAAACATTCTATTCTTTGGTTGATTTGCGCATCTTTAAATACACCTAGTGAACACTCAGGAGCAACTCCAATGGAAAACATGATTGTAGACTAAGGCTGGGTTGCACCATCTTACTTTAACTTTGACGAAATCTGTCAAACTCCATACAAAATACACCGGTTATCGTTATAGTTACGATCAAAGTTAGGTGGTGCAACTCAGCCTTAAAATTTCAAAACCTATTTGTATCCTATAGTACTTAGACCTTAATGAGTGTTATGTATTTATTTACCGTGAAACTTATACAAACAGAAAGTTATTCCATCACCATAGATTGTTGTTTTTATTGTTTCATCAGAGGAGTGGGCATAGATCCTGGGCGCGCCGGATAAGGCACGGACTGGGTATCTTCATAATTTACACAGTAAATTAAACTAAAACAGTGTCCAGGGCATGAATGTAAAAATAGTTTTACAATTGTTTGTAGTAACTAATTTAATGTACCTATGTTTTTTTATTTTGTTAATGAAATAGTGTTTTACCTGACTAAAAGATGTAGAATTTGTTTGTTTGATTGAACGCGCTAATCTCAAGAACCACTTGTTCGATTTGAAAAAATTACAGGCTGTTACCGAAGTAACTTAATTATTAGTAATATATTATTATCACGTTACAAACAATAAGAGCAGAGCATCGAAATATTTAAACAATTTTATTTTCACGCGTGCGATGTTGCGGGCACAGCTAGTTTTAAAAAGTCCGAAATTTACCAAAATATTAAATAACTAGCTGTGCCCGCGACTTCGTCCGCGTGGACTAATGACTTTGGGTAGGCACTTTTAATAATTTAGTCTAATTATTTTACAAAGGCCTATGTTCAGCAGTGGACGTCCTATGGCTGAAATGATGATGATGATGATGATGATTTTACAAATAGCTTTTGCCCGCGACTTCGTCCGTGTAGAAGTCGAAAAAGTTCTCATAGGATTTTTAAATGGTTTTTAACGTTATTATCTAAATGTTTGAATACTATTTGATCGTTTAAACACAGTGAATGATTCAATTACATAAAATTTTAATGATACTTTTCACGGCTTCGCTCTCATGAATGTTAACGACCGTCAAAAGCACGTCGATAGATGGCGGTTTTAAGGATATTTCTCACCTCTTAACTATTTATTGAAATTTAGTTTGTCACATATCGTCATAAATTGTAGCCTATATATTAGCCTGGGTTATAAATAATAATACTGTAAAGTTTCAACAAAATCCGTTTATTAGTTTTTGCGTGAAAGAGGAACAAACATCCAGACATCCAGACAAAAAGGTTACAGTGAGCCAACCATAAAAGATAGACATATGCTGTAGCGGACTTTTTTGTAGAACTTTTAAAGGGGAAAATCCTATCATACATAATTTATGCGAAACTTTAACCGTTTACGCAGCGTCAGCTCTCAAAAGGAAAAAAATCACTGATTTGAAACATTCTTCATTGGTGCTCCGCTCCTAGTGGTCTTAGCGTGATGATATATAGCCTAAAGCCTTCAGGGATTAACGGACTATCCAACACAAAAAGAATTTTTCAAATTGGTCCAGTAGTTCCTGAGATTAGCGCGTTCAACCAAATAAACAAACTGTGATTAATAAATTGCGCCACTACAAACCGTACCAACAGATGGCGCTGTTACGATCTTACTATGGCAAACTCCACCGCGCATACAATCCTGCATCGCGGTGACGAAGTTTTTTACCCTGCCCAGTATATATAGACAAACCAAGATTGTGTAAATTAAATGCTCTAACTCCTTATGGTGGTTGAGCGTCATGTTCCACAACTTCAGCTTTATAATATTAGTATAGAAGTATAGATAAGTGTCGTTTAAAATTCCGTGGGTATTGTGTGAGAGTAGGTTAGTGTGGTTTTTGTAATGTAAACTGACAAACCCAGGGGACATTACAACGTGGTGTTAAAATAAATATGCGAAGTTTTATCTCTAGGTATTTTTTAGGTCATTAATTAAAACAGGCATTTTACCTACGTAGTTAGTGTGGATGCAAATATTTAGAATTTGTATTTACAAATTGCTAATATGCTTTAAAAATATTTATATCATTAATGAGAGTAAGAATGAAGAGTAAGGAAGCAATCAGTAAGAAACAAAGTTCATAGAATGTACTCGTATGCCTTGTATAAAATTATTATAATTTTATTTAAACCTTATTCTTGGAAGCTTCATAAGCTTGTTTGGAAGCGGCTTGCATCTATGTTAGCTATTGTGTCAGTCATATCGGTGTTAAACACTAAAGCGTATTCGCCTGAGCATGCTCAAGTGGACACTAGGCTTAAGATGCCATATCGAACACAATTCTGTCAAGTACCTACACTAGAAATAATACGGAAGAACAGTATATTAAGCTACACAATGTAGCATCTTATTGAGTTGTGTTAAATGCTGTTTTGTAACATATACGATTATTGTACCAAAATAGTACCTTCAATAACTAGTTTAAAAAGCAAAGTATGGAAACGAGACTGGCTAGAAGGGTTTAATTAAAAGTTCGTCGTTACCAGTACCGTGAATGTACTGTAGCCTTCGAAAAATTTTGTAGCAACGATACAAGTTCAGTTAGCTTCGATCAGAAATAGATTCAATTAAAACTTGAATCTATTTCTGATCGAATCGAAAGATTGGTATACTGGATACTATCCAAAATATTTTAGGTAGCCTATTTTTATATAGAAGTAAATTAGAGACTGAAATCTTTGTCGGGTCGGTCGCAGTCGGGTAAAAATATCTTAATTTCAAATGCTCTTAAGGAGTCTTTAAATGTCTCATTATTTTTTGCCTTACTAGTGCTTCGAGACAAACATTAATTTGGCAAGTGTTAAGTTAGTTGCAAGTACATATAAGTACTAGCTATGAGTGTCTCAAATCTGTGAAATGAATCCATATTTATTTAGTCCTCCTTCTTTTACGATGAGTTATAAATAAAATACATCTCTATTCACGGAAATAAAAATACCTCTTTTAGAATATGATACGGTTTTCCTATATTTTATTGCTTGTTTTCATACAATTACCGTGGGCGTGGTAATACGGACATTTCCCTCGCTTATAAGGAATTTATTTTCAGTGTACTTTTGCACACGTCCTACGCAGATTTGAACGGAAAAGGATCTAAAAATATAGCTTTTGCCCGCGGCTTCACCCGTGTTAATTTCGGTCTGACATAGAAAGGAAATACTTTATTTAGAGCGTGTCCCCCTTTTGAAAAACCGGGTTAAAAAACTGTACCAACCAAATCAGTTTAGTGGTTTATGTTCTGTACACAAATAGAGTTCTTAATATTATAAATGTTAAATTATTGGCACCGGAGCGGGAATAAATTCATTAGGTATATTTTTTCAGATAACTGTAGAACATTTATTGCTTTGTGTAAAAAACTAAGATTATACCTTCCTTCCTTATAAGATATTATACCTTTCTTGACCTGCAGCCTCAACCTCATTACCGAACAAAAAATAGCCTGAGGTAAGAAAGCACCAGGGGCTTAAAAGTTCTTTGCTATTAAACCTCAGAAGACAACTGAATATTTTTTGTTATCAAACCGTTCGGTGTCTCAGCCGAGAACTATTTTTGTTTGCTGGTCGCATCTGTAACAAAAGCGGACAAAACCGGTTTTATGGCCAGATTAAGCCCGCCTGGTTTCCAGCTTACTGGCATTTGCGAATAGCCTCCTTAAGCTATAACAACATCGTAAATAAACTGAGCTAGCGATACCGGTTTAGTGCCAGAATTTTCGAAACCCCAAATTGCTTCTCATTTTAATAAAATTAACGTCAGCCAAAAGATTTACCCTTAGGTATTTCAGAAATTAAGCATAAAATGTTCCTCGTACATAAACACTATCGTAAACGATATGTTGCATGCACTAGCGACTAGAAAGCACGCGAAAAAATCTCAGGAACTACCAACTGTAAAAAAATATTTTTTTGTGTTGGATAGCCCATTTACCAAGGAAGGCTATGTACCACGCTGCGATTACTCGTAATAGGAGCAGAGTACATACCTATAATGAAAAATGTTGTGAAAAGGGAAAAAATGTTCAAACGGTTTTCCATGAAAAGCCTAGTGTAAATCTAAATACCTTTGTAAAATGTTCAAAAAGTTATAGCAAAGTTGGACGAGAACTAAGTTATACCTAAGGCTGAGTTGCTTTTCGTATGGAGTTTGACAGATTTTTGACGTTTGTCAAAGTTAAAGTAAGATAGTGCAACCCAGCCTTAGTGTTTCCACATCCCCATGACCCAGTTAAAGATTATCTCTCACCTCGATAATCTTGGGATTTGTGGTTAAGTTGAGTAGATACGCGAAGTTGTGAAGCGCAGTAGCATTACTGGTATTTATTTGGTTAGGCCCAGCTTAGCGGTGTTGCTTCCTTAATCTGCGGCAATAACAACGTACTCGTAGACAAACCGTTGGTATTACAGGATATTTATTACGAGTATTACCCGTGAATTACGGATACTTTAAAACACACTTTCGGCAATGCTTAGCGTGGAAATGTGCAATATTGCTAATCTAAGTCCCATTGATCTCATTTTCGTATTAACGTTACACTAAAGTGTAATGGTGCTGGTAATGGTAGTTTGTAAGTATTAACTGCAGATTCTGATTAACTACCTACCTTTACTCACGAGTATTCTTAACAGTACTTGTTAATAAGGTCGATACAATTACGAAAAAAGTAGATCAAAGATTAGGAATGTAATTCTGAATAAAATATTGTAAAATTACTTAGCATTATTTTGTCTACTTCCGCTTATTTAAATATAGTACGTAGAACTTCCATTTGCTTATATCTTGCATCAGCCTCTCACACCTTTATTTATAAACACAAATCTTAAAAATTCACTCAATCGCTAATCGCGAAATCGCTGATGCACTCCAGCTAAACATTGACAAAGGAATGAAATTCGGCAATAATGGAAGAGGGTATTATTGTGGAAGTGTCGAGTCGTAATCACTGAAGAGGTACCTCCGTGATAATTTATTGTGACTATTTATCGCGCTCCAGCCCAGGGGGATACGTCACCATATTTTAGGACTTTAACGGAAATATTACTCGTACATTGAGCTTTAGCGAGAAGCTATTACCAAGGTTTCATGGTGGCGCTATAGCCTATAGGCGCAGACCACCGATTTTTCGTCAGCCGATAGTTTAGTCGGGCAGATAATCAGTATGAGCATGTTGGAAGTACGCACATTACACCGATTTGGTATCAGCCGATTTTTCATACAAATTAGAATCGGGCCTAACTATCGACCAACTAAAAATCGGTGGTCTGCGCCTAGGCATAGCTAGATCCTTCTGCCTTGTTATGAATAAAAAAAAAGATATATTAGAGCCCAAACATCCAGCCAGCTCTACATTTTACACTACGAGAAGCTTATGTTTGCTGATACAAACGAGCTGCGCGCTGACTTATGATGCATTCTATGAAGGCCTGGGTTTAGCAGAGGCTAATGATGATGATGATTAGGTCTAACTCCAATTACTAGCTCGTGACCGATAATAAATAAATAAATATAATAAATAAATAGGAGTAATTGCCAGTAAAACCAAATACATAATGTCCTTATATCTAGCGGATACCGCACTAAGCAGAGCTTGTGTCGCAGTAACCTTTAAGTACATGTACACCGACGACCTCTGGCCCTGGCAACCTATAACGCTCGCACACTGCGTACAGACGTGAAGCTAATGGAACTCGAGGAAGAGTTGAGCAGGTTACGGTGGGATATCGTGGGATTATGTGAAGTCCGAAGAGAGGGGGAGGACACCATAATTCTTAAATCCGGAAACCTGCTCTATTTCCGGGAGGGCGACCAGCAGTCCCAGGGTGGTGTCGGGTTTATCGTCCACAAGTCCCTTGTCAACAACGTGGTCCAGATCGAGAGTGTTTCGGCGAGGGTAGTGTACCTGATACTCAGAATCACCAAACGGTATTCGCTGAAGGTCATACAGGTATACGCACCGACCACGGAACACCCCGACGACGAAGTGGAGACCATGTATGAGGATATTTCCAGAGCCATACATGGCTCCCGGTCCCATTTTACCGTTGTGATGGGGGACTTCAACGCGAAGCTAGGTAAACGAAGCGATAATGAGCCGAAAGTGGGGCAATTTGGGTACGGAGAGAGGAACGCACGTGGCCAACTGCTGGCTGGCTTTATGGAGAGGGAGGGCCTCTTTATGATGAACTCCTTCTTCAGAAAGCCAAAACAGCGAAAGTGGACATGGCTGCATCCCAATGGCGCTACAAAAAATGAGATAGACTTCATCTTGTCGACGAAGAAGCATATATTCAATGATGTCTCTGTGATCAATTCGGTCAAAACAGGAAGCGATCACCGAATGGTAAGAGGCACATTGAATATCAGACCCAAGCTCGAGAGATGTCGACTGATGAAGTCTACGCTCCGCCCAGCGCCCATCCAACTCCAAAACCCCGAAAGCTTTCAGCTCGAGTTGCAAAATCGTTTCGAATGCCTAGGAGACTGCGAAAATGTGGACAAATACAATGACAGGTTCGTGGAAATTGTCCAAACGACTGGGTCTAAGTTCTTTAAAACCCGTCGTTCAAAAGGAACCAAAAAGATCTCTGACCTCACCAATCAACTCATGGAAGAGAGACGGAACTTGGTTCTGCAGTCCTCTGAAGATGCTGCTCAGTATCGGCGCCTTAACAGACAGATCTCCAAGTCTTTGACTCGCGACCTACGCCAATTTAATACAGACCGTATTAAAGAGGCGATTGAGCGAAACAAGGGCTCTAAAGTGTTCGCAAGAGATCTGTCTGTTGGCCAAAGTCAACTGACCAAGCTGAAGACAGAGGATGGCAGAGCCATTTCGTCGGGGCCGGAGATATTGGAAGAGGTCGAGAAGTTCTACGGACAATTATACACGAGTGTACGTGCACCTGTCACAAATCTAGCCGAAGACCCAAGAGCTAGACTGACCCGACACTATACCGAAGATATCCCGGACGTCAGTCTGTACGAGATTAGAATGGCTCTCAAACAGCTGAAGAACAACAAGGCACCGGGTGATGATGGAATCACGGCTGAGCTTTTGAAGGCAGGCGGAACGCCGGTACTGAGGGCTCTTCAGAAGCTGTTCAATTCCGTCATCCTCGAAGGGAAAACGCCTACGACATGGCACAGAAGTGTGGTGGTACTCTTCTTCAAAAAAGGTGACAAAACCTTATTGAAGAATTATAGACCCATCTCACTTCTGAGCCATGTCTACAAGCTGTTTTCAAGAGTCATTACGAATCGTCTCGCTCGCAGGCTCGACGACTTCCAGCCTCCCGAACAAGCCGGTTTCCGAAAAGGCTTTAGTACCATAGACCACATACATACGCTAAGGCAGATTATACAGAAGACCGAGGAGTATAATCAACCACTTTGCCTGGCGTTTGTGGATTATGAGAAAGCCTTCGATTCGGTCGAGACCTGGGCAGTGCTACAGTCTCTCCAAAGGTGCCAAATTGACTATCGATATATCGAAGTGTTGAGGGATTTGTACAAAAACGCCACAATGTCGGTCCGCCTCCAGGATCGGGATTCGAAACCTATCCAGTTGCAGCGAGGGGTAAGACAGGGAGACGTCATATCTCCAAAACTGTTTACCACCGCCCTGGAAGATGTCTTCAAGCTTCTGGACTGGAACGGATTTGGCATAAATATCAACGGCGAGTACATCACCCACCTTCGATTCGCGGACGATATCGTAGTCATGGCTGAGACCTTGGAGGATCTAGGCACAATGCTCGATGGCCTCAGTAGAGCCTCTCAACAAGTGGGCCTCAGAATGAACATGGACAAGACAAAAATCATGTCTAATGTCCGTGTTGCACCCACTCCTCTGAAGGTTGGAGACTCTACACTCGAAGTTGTCGACAATTATGTATACCTGGGACAAACAGTCCAGTTAGGTAGGTCCAACTTCGAGAAAGAGGTCAATCGTCGAATCCAACTCGGATGGGCAGCGTTCGGGAAGCTTCGCCATATACTCATGTCCGAAATACCGCAGTGTCTCAAGACGAAAGTCTTCGAGCAGTGTGTGTTGCCAGTGTTGACATATGGATCCGAAACGTGGTCGCTTACTATGGGCCTCATAAGAAGGCTCAAGGTCACCCAAAGGGCGATGGAGCGGGCTATGCTCGGAGTTTCCCTGCGTGATCGAATCAGAAATGAGGAGATCCGTAGGAGAACCAAAGTAACCGACATAGCTCGCAGAATTGCTAAAATCAAGTGGCAGTGGGCGGGGCACATAGCTCGTAGAGACGATGGCCGTTGGGGCAGGAAAGTTCTCGAGTGGCGACCACGGGCTGGAAAACGTAGCGTGGGCAGGCCTCCTACTAGGTGGACCGACGATCTGGTAAAGGTCGCGGGAAGAGCCTGGATGCGGGCAGCGCAGGACCGTTCATTGTGGAAAAC